GAGGAAGATATGCTAGTGAATTGAGTGAACGGATGAAGAGGATGGGATTGAATTCTTAGTTTCGACAATGATCAGCATGGAGGTTTGGACATGGGTCCCACTCTCTGGTCATTTGCATCTCGAGTCTCGGTGCTGACTGATTGAGGCGTAATTGATTATATGCTCTTGAATTGGGTGCTTCCAAATTTTCTAATACTTCCTCTGATTTGTAATTTTAACATTTTTTAAATTCTCGACTTAGTATCACTAACATGCTTGTTCAGAGTTTCGTGTGCATTTTAAGGTTTATTGTGACGTGGCTCCTTAATGCTTCACTTTGTGCCGATGATGGTGTTGTGTGGTTTGCTAGTTTACTGTTTTCAGCTTTCATGATGGGTGGCGTTTACTGAAGTGTACTCAGGACTCACGAATCTTTTATGCTTCAACACCCTTGTGAGGGAAGTGTTACAACCGTCTTGCCTTTATCTTGGTTAATCGTGATGGGAAGTAGTAAGAATGTAATTTGTGGCCCACTGTTTTCTCTATCTTGTGAAACTTCCTCCAGGTCACGTACCAAGGTCCCGGCTTCAGTTGGAGGCTGAGAATTGGAGAGGCAATACTGATATGCATATTTGCGAAACTGTTGTTTTCCCTATAGTAGCTGTAATTTGTCCATGTCGCATGTGTGATCATCCAGTTCATTCAGATGTGATCTGCAGTTCAATTGGTAGTACCCTGCAAATAATTGATATGAAGTTCCTCATTGGAAATCGAGGCACAAGGACTGTGACACTCATGGTATGTCAATGATGCGAGTGACATGAGAGCAGCGAATGAAGAGGTCTATTTATCAGGAGATGGTGGGGTTGCGACACAGTTTCTCCTGTGGTACGTACTAGGCTTGGGGTGGTCAACCGAGTTCTTGCACTTTGTTATGTGTGGTATGGTGGACGGAGAGTGTTGAATTGATGCCGGATTCTTGTGACTGCTTCATGATTGATCAATTGGATGTCAATGAGAGGTTACTTTGGGGGATGATGTGCTGTAGGCGCCGAGCTAATGGTTGATGGGATTATTGTATCATAATTGGCTAGGAGCATGGGAAGCGCAAGGGGTGAGGAAGTTAGCAAAGGTGCGAGTTCTCCAGCTTACATCAAGATCGAGTGCTAAGTGGTGGGTCTTATTTCAAGTATGGGCCGTACTGTGTGCTTCAGCAATGGCAAGCGCCAATGGCAGGGTTCAGCATCACAAGAGGTTTGCATGGCTTGCACTGTTTGCGTCATTCTCAAGTGGCAAATAAAGAGACACTTCTTCAAGACTTCTAATATTGACATACATGCAATACGATGGCTTATTCGAAATTGTGAGAGGATCTGCTGCCTCTGCATAAGCAATGAGCTGATAAGGTACCCATGGAATAAGTGTAGATTTGTTGACTGGTTTGAAAGGCTGGACCTGCAACCATGGTGGGTGAAGGTGGTGCAGCCACTTACAGTATCATCAGTTGGTGCTGCAATATGTGCTTTGCAGCGAGTACAATGAGTGGTGGAAAATGTTTGCCCCATTCTACTCACAGCACTTGGTAAGGTCGCATCCTAACTGTATTTGCACCATAAACCTGGTCGAAGCAAGCTCACCCACAGAACCGAAGGTGGACAGTCAACCTCTTTCGCAGCTCACAATTTAACTAACCTCCACTCAATTTCTCTTTGTGGGGACGATGATCGAGTATAAGCTGCAAGAACCAAATTCCGGTCTCACAGTTAAATTTCTAGAAGAGAGACACATCTACGCGGAGCTTTTGCATTCAATAGGAAGCTGTAGGTGGCATCACTTTGCCTAGCATTGCATGTTAAGCTTGTTGGAGCTATGGCGCTGCTCGAGGTGTGTTTTCGAGGCACGATTTTCTACATCCAGTGCAGATAAGGTAGGTAGAACAAATGCACCACATCAAGATCCACCTCAAAGAGGTGGGAGGAGGTGATGAGAGCTGAAGGGGTCTTCTCATCCAAGCCCATTTCGGATTACACAAAAGCGCACAATGTACCACTTCCCAATTGTGGAAGGACCATTCGCAAGGATCTTCACCACCGTCTTCCCAAACCACCTCCATGAGATTTGCCACATGCACTACTCACTACCCTTCTCCCTGCATAAAAGCCGGAAGGCAGACTCAAATCGGTCAGGCGTATAGCGCCTACTGAGTCAACACCCCTTCCCAACGCCAGTCACGGTGACCTGCATGAACCTAACTGGCTGGCTGACTAATTCAGTGGGGCAAAAGTGGTCCATCAGGCGCCAACACATCCATTCATGTCTTGCTCATTACTAACAGATTCATCAGTGGATGGTTATTTCTCCCCGACCCCACCTTCCTGTTTCACGCGCACCCTCCCCACATTCTCAAGTGTCTAGTAGCCAGCCTCAAACTTATCCTATCACTTACTGCCAAAAGGGTTGATGGTGAAGTTGTATGGACTCATCAACTCTGAGATGGTATACGTGCCCTCTCTTCAATGCATTCAGTAGTGCCGTAGTACTCTGTTGATAGAAATTGCTCCATCTGTCTGACTGTGACTAATTGATGGCACAAATTCCATCTTCATTTGCAGCCACCGAGGCCATCTTTGAGTGCATGACAGTATCCCTTACAATGGAAATGGAACGCACAAAAATGCCCTCTGACTCCATCGATAAGTTGGTCTGATCAAGCAGCACAACTACTGATTCCTGTGGTGTGCGGAGGTGCGGGCTGAAGGATGTGGCCAGCGTGGTCTTAACGACATTGCTACAAGAGAACTGGCTACACATCCTCATCCATCGTCACCGAATATCAGGTTTTGCACTGCGGACACAGCCACCACTCATTGGGATGACGCTGAAAAGGTTGCACTGTGTTCACCCGCATCCAGGCGAGCGAATCTACGGCGCAGCGAATGAGCTTTAAAAGAGTGTGCCAACATTCTCTTTGTCACTGCTGTAATTCATGTACTACTTCTTGGCTTGTGGGAAGATAAGAAGACCTTTGACCACTGACCAAATTGACAGTGTCAAAGTGATCTGGCTCCATGTCCTCCTTCCACTGTTAGGTGTGCTGGCAACAATTGTGGTGCACTTAGATATGGACTAGACGGTTGCTTCACTGTGGCTGGAGAACTGCGAGTCAGGTTGGGGACATTCATGCGGAGCTTTCAATGACGAATTTTGGCCAGATGATGCGGTGATGCAAGCAGCATCATTTCCAAGCACACACAACCGCAAGGAATCAGCTTCACGTGGTTGTGCTTCCTTGCGATTCCACTACTCCAAAGTGTTCCTTCCTTATCTCCTCTTACTCCCCCTTCTTTCCCTTCTCCTTCTCCTCCTCCCTCCCTCTTGTCTATTTCCTGACCACAACTTTAATTCCATCCAAATCCTTCTATTGCCACAGATCCAAACCACGTAAAAGTTTAATTGCGCACCTCAATGTCCTTAGTCTCCGTTTATGATGCAACACAATAATGTGTGATGTCCTTGTCTTCAACAAACTCACCATCCATGGTAGATGTTGTCAATCAGCTCCTCGTGATGACTTTGTTGCTTTCAATGCTTCCACTTGCATAGCAAACGAATTAGCATGCTTGTAGGGAATCGCGATCGGAAGGAGAGAGTAAAATAACAAATGCAGCACCGATCATGAAGTGGAGACACTTTAGTCTATCCTCATCTTAAATGAACTCTGAGGCATTTTCGGAGTGATTGAATTCAACTATCCACTGCGATTCCATTGTGATTGAATAACAACGCGTTGGTGGTCCTCTTCCACAAAACTTCCTTTCAGACGACTCGAGGAACGGGTTCTGCTGTGCCACGATTTTGCTAGACATCCTCCTACGCCAAATCAACTCAGCTCCGATCAGGAGAAATGAAAACGAGCAAGAGGATCCTTCCACCATAATCTGCTGATATGTGGAGCGCAGTAGAGAATGCAGGAGATTCATAGAAAGTGGAAAATCGCGACACCACCACGACATGAGTAATTGTTCAATTGCTAAATTTGTTCTTCACGTCTGTGTTGATGTGTGGTACAGTTCTTTCCCCAACCAGCACGAAGATCGGAAAGTCACAATCGGCAAAGGAGAGTAATGATGCTGACGATGATGACGATTTGGTGGTGGTGGTGGTGGTGGCGAGAGGCGGAGGTGGTGGCGGAGTTGACAAGGTTATGGACGTTTCAGCCCACGTTTCCACCTAACGACGGAAGACGTCCATTCTGCCACGCATACCCTCCCCAATGCTCATCCAATGGACCGTTTCTGCGCGTATGCCGTCGAATGCGGCTTTCCACCTTCCCTTTTGCTCACAAACAGGCGAAGTACCTCAGCGGCTGCTGATGGGATAGTTGTATGGTGGGACAACTTTCGCAACAAATGATGGAAATTGTTCCCTGCTCCGCACAGTTGCTTCACCCCACCACACCTCCCATTCTCTAAACTCGGATTGACACATTTGCATTTCCATGCAAAGTTGCGCGTTTGTTGCATTCCATACACCTATCGGTCGCATGTACCCTGACGACTAGCAAGTTGTTAATTGCATGTCTGGTTACAGGCTACCCGTTGGCAACTTAAAATCGCAATCTGTGGATCTCCCGAACGGCGATACACCATAAGCTAAAGTGCAATGCAATTCGCCTTTCCCTTGACGACTGTCGTAGCTAAAAGCGCTCATTACCGCGATGCATCAACAATGGATCATGACTACGAGACCGACCCATAACTCCAAGGTCCGACACACCTCGATCCCAGTTCTAAAAGATCACCTCAAAGTGAAGACGAAATACAACTCGCCCAAACCACCACTCTCCCAATGCAAGTCTTCAATCTCTCAATCCTGCGTACTCTCCAATTACAGCTACACCTCGAATAAGGCCTGAGAACATTGCACATCATCAAAAGTATATTTAAAATGTACACTTTTGCACACAAGTCCCTCCTCATCAAGCAACGCTACGCCTTATCCTTCGTCCGCCAAACGTCGATTCGCCGTGAGTTCTTCTACAAAGAACAAATTTAACATATCGACAACTTGTCAACTGGTTCAAAGGAGCCCGAGTCACCGGCATCAACACAAACTCCAATCCAATAGCCAACGGTTGCGGACAAACCTGAAGGTTGTGTCAAGCAGTCGCAGCATAGAAAGACACGGTGAGTCCTCCTTCGCCTCCTCAAATGCTGCCACCATCTGCGATATGATAGTGAAGAAGTAGCAAAGAGATGGCGAGTGACTAAAAAAACCAACAATGAGAACAAAACACGTCCGCACTAAAAGAGGGCTAAAGGAGAAAGTAAAGGAAAAGTTGCTCACGTTGTCGAGAGAGCATGTCGAAACAACCACAGTGGAAAGGCGTGGAAACGTGTTAAGGCGTGACACGCTCGAGCAATCCTTGTAGTAGCTGTCAAGAGACGAAGAATTTGTATCTAAAAGTTAAAAATAGGCAATTTATAGCCGTTAGCCTATTCCACTCCCTAAAATGTTAAACTTCACATGGCTAAACCTAACTCAACCCATGCCACGGGGGTCACATGCCAGAAATGCAGATGCCTTCCTTCCCACGATTCTACTGTAATCAAATCAGTAACATGGCGTCAAAATCAACCAGAACAACGGGTAGAGCAAATAAAAATTTAGCGCTAGTAGAAAAGCACACTGCCGCATTATAACCACTGCCGAAAACGACAACAAGAAACAATGACGATGTCCGACACACGCGGAGGCATAACGACTTGTCTTACTCCAACTCTCGAAGATGCATGTGACAGGAAAATTCGCTTCGCAGATTACAAAAGCCAAGATATTATCAAACGTACACAATCTAAGGACTACAGCATTGACAAATGCATCAATTTCCTACTGGCGCATTAGTCATCAGTGTCGCACGTGTGTGTAGCGTCTAACCGCCCACCAGGGCATGCCGTTTAATAAATAGGCACTCGATACGAGGATTACAGCAATTTTAAGAGGAAATGTCAGCACACCGACATCATGCAATTAAACATCCTCTAACCTGGGTGGTAGTATCCACTCCCGGATCGGCGTACAAGAGAAGGCAGTACTTGTAGACCCGAGATTTCTCCAATAAGAGGTAGTCCGAGGTATCATTGACACTATCAGCACAAAGTTTTACCATCCACTGCCGCTCCACGCGAAACTACAGAAACAAGGCGAAAAGCAATAAGTGGTTTGTGTCCACGCGGTAATTGGCCTCAACAACCACGCGCCGATCTTTCCCAGTAGTAAGGAGGTTGTGCTAGTGATGGATTGCCTTTACCACCGCCTGTATTATCCACTACCTACCTCCAATTTCTACTCTCAGTAGGACGAAAGCTGGCCTGAACTTGAGGCAACGCAATCAGCCTCTCAAAAACTACTTCATGTCCTTCTCCCTGAAGCAGCCCCAATTGACAAACCTACCATCTTTTTCCACCATACACCTCGTCACTTCCCTACTTCCCTATCCCACCCCACCAACTCACAATAACACCTATGCTTACAGTTTGATTCGCCTTGCAAAAAGGACTTTTCTCTGCAAAGAAGACTTCAAAACACCGCACCATCCTCCCCTCGACCAAACTGCAACCAATGACACCCGTCATAATGACACAATTGTAGATATCCCGACATCTGCAATCTGCATTGACAACCAAGGCTCACGATCATGTCAGTGCCCAACCCCCGCTGGTGGATCACCTTCTTCCGATACTACAGCAAATTCGCGTCGAATTCGCACAAGCAAAGATGAGGAAGCAAAAGTGATTGCCCTACCCTGTCAGTGCTCAACAAGGTGGATAGATGGGGAGCAGATGGACTTTCACTTCACCATGGGAATGGTCATTTCAACTTAGGATAACAAAAGGTAACGAGGAGTGCTGCTAGGAAATATTAGTCTGCTTACGTCTTTGTGAACCGAGTATACCATTCGTATGAAGTCCGGCACCGCGCCCAAGTCAATGGCCGGTTTCGCCATGTAGGTGTTCCACAACACCTCGTACATTCTATGCTCTGCAAGAGAAAGGGAATGATATTAACTCTTCAGGTCGTTAACCATTCCAAAAGGCACAAAGTCGGCTCAAATTGGATGAAGTGCACAGAAACACTCCAACACCTTCCATTCTTCTACCTTTTAAAGCAAACCAGTGAAATCAGGAGGTGGTTCACTTATAGCATCTGAATGATTTCCAAACACGAATAACGAACAAGGCTGACATGTGAGGCAGCTTTCTACCTTCTTCTTTGCATTGTCAAATCACTTCCAAAGGCAAGAGTATGAGGCAGAGAGTATAAGGTATAAGAAAGACACAAATGAAGTGACTATGCTCTGGGAAAAAGGGCTCAGATAAACGCACCAGGTTTCGTGAGCATTCCCAGAGACTGGATGAAGAAGTTGGCATGGACTCGCGACAATCGAAAGGAGGTGTCCGCGCGAGAACCAAATAGCACTGAACACCGCGCCCCTCCGCCCAACTCACCGGCTTTGGTGCTCAAGCTATTCCGCAGGGTATCCAACATGAAATTCAACTATCCAAAGAGAACACAATCGATCACTCTTGCAACGTCTTCCCAACCAAATAATGGCATGGGCAGATGATAAAGGCATAGTTTCTTCCACGCAATCCATGGACTTAAAGAATCGAACACTTCAGAACTCATACGATGCTTCAGAAATAACAATCCTGGCATTGGACTCAAAATGAGGCAGCTATCGAAAACGTGTATACTTCAAAGAGACGTGGACTGGATGAAGGTAGCTTCGTTTACAGCCTCGTCGAATGACAGAAGCAATTCAACACCATAAAGTGCGAACAC